AAAATTAAAAAAAAAAGAAAAAAAATCAATAACTAACTAAGGAATAGCTTTAAAAATAAACTTTTCAAGTTGCATTAGAATTTTAGAAAAATTTTTTCCTCATTTTTTTTTGCAAAATAAATTTTTATTTATTTATTTTATTTTTTTGATTGATAATTATAATATATATGGATTCTAATTAAAATGTAAATTTGTTTGCTTAATTTATCAAATATAAATAGCTAAACTTAAACTTATGATAAAATTGAATGACAAACCCTAACTTTCCTTAATTAATTTGCATTTAATTAAAAATTCAAACAACACATTCGTCTATAAATTTCTTGTGTTTTTTTTTTTTGATTTTTTGTTTTTTTTTTTGCCTTTTCTGATTTCTCTTTTTTTTTTACAATCAATGAAATGGAAATAAAATTAGTAAATTCTTTTATGAATTGATTAAAATTATTAAAAAATTATAATAGTTGTATATAAAAAAGGATGAAATTCTTTCCCATTCTATTCTATTATATTTGAAATTTATTTTAGCATTTATTTATGATATCAAAAATTAATACAAATAGAAATTAAATAAACAATTCCAATGATTGGAAATATTTGGGACGTTTCTTTTCATTATTATTTTTTTTTTCTTGCTATTTGAAATTTCAATTTGATTTTGTCATTTTATATCCTGTTGTGATAAAAGAAATAAAACTTTTGAAAATAACGAAAATTAAAAGCGACCTGTTTTTCTATCAAATCAAATTAAATTAAATTAAATCAAATGAAATCAAATCGAATTAAATCAGATTAAATTGAATTAAATCAAATTAAATCAGATTAAATCGAATTAAATCAAATTAAATCAAATAAAATCAAAGTTATCATTTTATATCTTGTTATGATAAAGGAAATAAAATTTTGGGAAATAATGAAAATTCAAAAACGATCTGTTCCTCTATCAAATCAAATTAAATTAAATTAAATCAAATAAAATCAAACCAAATTTAATCGGATTAAATCAAATCAAATTTGATCAGATTAAATTAAATCAAATCAAACCAAATTAAATCAAATAAAATTAAATTATCTTCTCAAATATTAAATTACATATGCAGGAATTATAAATTAAAATCGAATTAAATCAAATGAAAACAAATTGTCTTTCCAAATAATAAATTGAGAATAGAGGAATCATAAATTAAAATGGAATTGAACCAAATGAAATCAAATTAAATTAAATTATCTTCTCAAATATTGAATTACGAGTGGAGGAATTTTCAATTAAAATCAAATTAAATCAAATCAAATGAAATCAGATGAAATTGAACCATCTCAAATATTAGAGAAATTTTAAACCTTAAATTGAGAGCAGAAGAATTTTAAAAGAAGTAGCAAAAAGATTTTTGATATAAAATGATATGAATTATTCATTTCAGCTATCTCCATCACTTTCATAATAAATGTTTATAGAATAAGGAACAAATAGAAATGTTCACTTAATCGAACTTAATTTAGGTTTTATTTTTTAAAATTTAAAAGAAAAGATTTTAAATTAAAAATTTAAATTTCTTATCAATTAGAGAAAAAAAGTTGAAAATTCGATTAATTAAATCTGATAAAAAGGTGTTATTCAAATTATTCACATTAGTATATTAAATTTAATATACTATTAGAAAAATAAAATGAAATAATTTGATAATAATGTAAATTTATGCAAATTTTTGAAACATTTATTTAACAAATTTATTAGTTGCATTAACACATTAAATATAGTCTTTGTATTTTTTTTCTTGAAATAAATAACTAAATTTTAAATTTCAATTCCAAATTTCATTAATATCATTAAAAAAAATTAAAAATTAAAAAAAAAATTAAAAAAAAATTAAAAAAAAATTAAAAAAAAAAATTAAAAAAAATTAAAAAAAAAACAATTCAATAACATTGGTTTAATGTTAGTTATTAATCATTATTAGTTTAATAAAAAAAACAAAAAAAACTCTTTTATAACTTAGAAAGATTATTTATCAATTTTTAACAATAATAATGAAAAAATTTCAAAATTCCAAAAACATTTTATGACATATTTAAGTTTGATTATTAACAAAAAAAAAGTAAAAATTTATAAATTACATTAGCTAACAGCAAGTTTAAACATTTATTAAAAGTCATCATCAAGTAAAACAAAAAAAGCATTTTATGACATATTTAAGTTTAATTATTACAAAAAAAAGTAA